TTACACATTAGGGTTGGGTCATAACCCTAGTGAGAATCTAGCTACTGATAATGGGACTTGAAGAAAATAAAGAAGAAAAGCTAATTAAACTCATAATCAAATATTAAAATGATAAAATATAATGTTTAAACACTAAAATAATCACAAACTTCCTAAAATGGCAAAAGGTAACGGCTACAACAACTTTTTACTTCCAAACTTGACCTAAAATTTTGAAACTCGTCTATTTATAGTGGGCCAAAATTCGCTGACAAAAATGCCGCTCGGGAGGTTCTACGGCTGCATAATTCCATGTACGATCCACAAATTTCTTCAGTTGGCAGGAGATGGGATTCTAAAACCGCATATTTCTGGATTGCGGTTGCGAAGCAACTTCTGCGGCCGCACAATTTTTGTGCGGTCCACACTTCAGCAAGGTTTCAGGACCTAATATTTTGCACACTCTCTGAACTTGGAATCATTTGTCAGTACAGATCCTGTTTTGTGGCCACACAATTCATATGCGGTCCGCATATTGGTCAAAATTCTGTTGGGTTCTTTCGCTTGGTTTGCGGTCCGCAATTACTTCTGTGGACCGCACTTCTTTGCTTTTGCGCCCTTTATTTTCTTGTGCTTCGGAACACTCCTTTTTGAGTCAGATTTTATTATGGGAGACCAAACTTCCAACATTTCTATAATTTGCATAATTTTATTAGTTTCGGGAACATAAATCAATACTTTAGGACTAAAACAAAGGCAAAAAGGTGCTAATAAGTAGTCAAAATCTCCACTTATCAGGTAACAAAGCGCATAATCAGATGTTCCCTTCAGATATCTTATGATCCTCTTTACTGCTTGCCAATGTGCTAAACCTAGGTAGGTTTGATATCTACTTACCAAGCCAACTGCATGATAGATATCAGGTCCAGTGCATAAATAACATATATTAGACTTCTGACTGCGCTCCTATAAGGAACTCGACTCATTCTTTCTGTCTCTTCAGGAGTCTTAGGACACATCTGACTTCCCAAGGCATGGCCTTTACTGATAGGAGTTTCAACTGGGCTACTATTTTGCATATTGAATCGTTCAAGAACCTTTCTAATGTAATTCTCTTGTGAGAGATACAATAGTTTCTTTGGACGATCTCTTGAAATCTTAACTCCAAGAATATATGCAGCTTCACCCATATCTTTCATCTTAAATTGGGATGATAACCATGACTTTATCTCGGTTATAAGCTCCGTATTATTTCCAGCTATAAGTATGTCATCTACATACAATGTTAAAATCACAAGCTTGTTCCTTGATCTTTTGGTATAAACACAATGGTCTTCATCCATCATGGTAAAATCATTGGATACAACATTCTAAAAGCATATATACCACTGCCTTGAAGATTGTTTGAGGCTATAAATAGACTTCAAAAGTCTACAAACCTTTTGTTCGTAGCCTTTTTTTTTTAATGAAATACTCAGGTTGTTTCATATAAAATTCTTCATCTAGTTCTCCATTGAGAAAGGTAATCTTTACATCAATGTGATGTAATTCAAGATCTAAGCTTACAACAATAGCTACAACCAGGCGAACATAGGTAAGTCGTACAGCAGGCGAAAAAACGCCCGGGCATATGCCCCGAACGCCCGGGTGTATGTCCCGAATTGCTAGGCATACGCCTCTTGAAAATTTCGCCCCACACCATCGTCTTGGGGCATTTTTGGTACGCCTTGCCCCAAGGCTCGTCCCGAAAACGCCTTTTAAAACACTGGTAGTAACTGATTTTGTAGGCACTCGGCTAAATACAAAAGTGGCAGTAAGCAACACATCACCCCAGTAAACTAATTGGGAGGTTAGCTTGTGCCATCATTGACCTAACCATTTCTAGGAGCGTTCTGTCTCTTCTCTCTACAACACCATGTTTTGTGGAGTATTTGGGATAGTCAACTGATGAACTATCTAAGCTTTGCTTCCCGCATCTTGTCGTCCAAGGGAGCCACGCCCGCCCTCTCCCGAATATCTTCATTCCTAATCTTATCCATCCTAGTATGCCCGAACATCTATCTCAACATCCTCATTTCTGCTACTTTCATCTTCATAATGTTAAACAAATTAACAAATAAATATAATGTTAAACAAATTAACATTTCAAGCATGTTAAACAAATTAACAAATAAATTTTATATTAAACTAATTAACATTCAAGCAGTTGGGATAATAAAATAATTATAATTTTCATAAAGGAATATAAATACTAAATTTATATTCTAAAAATTAAGTCCATATGACTAATTTTCGAAATTTGTAATTTATTAAAAAAAATAATAGAACCTTAAGTAATTTTTAAAAATCTATAATTTATTTAACTCTTTCCATTAGCCCATATTTTAAAAATTAAAGAGAGTGGTGCAATGGGCCTTTAGCCCAAAGTTCTGTCTGCCAAATTTAAAAGAGGCCTAACCCCTTTTTCAGCTATATTGAGATGAACCTTAGTCCAATAACCTATATTATGCTAGTTTAAAAAGAAGCCCAATTCATAAAATTTGTCCATTAGAGACAGGAGCCCAGTAGCTTCTCTAGTAAACTAATTTAAAAAAAACTCTCTTTTCTTAATTAGTGTTAGATTAGGGGAAAAGGACGAAACCCTCATCTCCATTTAACATCCCCCTTTTTTTTGTTAATTTATTTATTTTCAGAGGAGGGAGAAGCCATAGCCTCTCTAACCTTCTTTTCAGTGGCTGAAAAAAAAACAAAAATAATGGATATACACCATCGACAGTGGCGTTATTCAGGCAGATTTAATTTAACTCCTTTTTTTTAAATTCTGATTAAAGAAAACTGATTTCAATAATCAAATAATTACCAGATTCAAAAGCAAGCAATGAAAGGTAATTTGGTGCAAATCAAATTAACTAATTTAGATTTGATGGATGACACGAATAAAAAAATAATCATCGTCCAATCTGTTTCATATACTTTCTTTTGTCCTTTTTTTTTTTTTTTTTTAAAA